CCCCTTGCCGTAAGCCTGGTGGCCACATGGGGGGGGGGGGGAGGGAAGAACCTCTTAGGCCTCTCAGGAGTGGGAGGGGGACACGTCGACAGGATTACAGTCATGTAGGTATGATCATTCTCAGCCAATAACATTTCAGCAAAACAAACAGTTCCAAACTCTCAAGCTCGATAAGATAAAAGATTTCTATCTAAACCAACCAAATGTGTTTTTAACATTCACCACAATATAAAAGGCAAATCCCACTGAAACAAAATCCCTTTGCATAGTTTGTAAGCAAGAGGAGTTGCCCCGTTTCTATTCGGATGTGTTAAATTATGAGTGTTCCAGCACAAAGCATGCCACTATATCTCCCGGCAACTGCAGGGATCCAGCCTAAATCCCCAGCTACTGGCGTCCCCTTGCAATACAACTCGCACCCCAAACAAAGGGACAACATTCCTGTCTGAGCTTAATGGACAGCTATAAATATACTGAACGGAAAACTGAGTGTAGGAAGGGCCAGAACTGTTCCATTATCAAACCCTAAACTTTGTTACTAAACCTGTCAGTCCTGAATTAAACTCATGCGTCTCTTGTGTTTGTGTTACATAATCAAATTATTTTTGGAAGCACTTTTCACTGAATTTAATCTACTGATGTATGGGTTTGTACCTCAGTGTAGTGTCAGGATGGGTCTCCATGTGGGCATCAAAGTCGTTTCTGCAGGTGAGGGTCTTGAAGCAGATAGGACACAAGACTTCTTCCTGTCCTTTGTTCAAACTCTGCTCATCTACAACGCTATTTTCTTTGACCTGCAGCACACAGGTTACCGTCAGCTATTTGTAGCCCAATTTTGAGAGCACCTCTTGGGGCACTGGGTAAGATAGTGGAACTACATTTACCTTTTTGCTAGTTGTCTCCTCTGTCTTCTCAATGTCTTCATCGTGGCTTAGTTTGCGTTTGGCTGTAGAGGTACGTCGTCGCTTAAGTGGAGACCGACTCGGACTGTTGGGGATGGAGCTGGCGTCCTTCTCGTGGATCTTCATGTGTCTGAAAACAGACAATAGTGTGTGCTTTAAAACTGCATTTGGGCATTTACAAACAAGCGAGCATCACAAATGATTCTGTTCTTTGCAAAACGCTTGGGCACTACAGGGTTAATGGTTATGGAATAATTTCTTGGGAAGGAGTTGCATCTTGAGGACATTTACAGATGCCTCCCACTTGTTTGATAGATGAGCAGTTCATGAATAATATTCTAGAAATTAGGGTAGAGGAACCCCTGTTCATCCCATTGGGAGCCAACAGAAAGGACTGTAATGGGAAGACACTAATGGTCTGGAAACTCATGCAATTATCCCACAGCCTCTATATGTGCATATGTGAGTCCAAGATGGCGGGTAGAGATCAACGGAAAAGAGAGTGGTAATGTTGCATGGAGAGGGCCAGAAGTTGATCCTCTGTTATCCAGAGAGATCTTGAGGAAACCAGTCAAGACAAGAAAGAATTGGAGGCCTAATAAAGATGAATGTTAGACTCAAGTAAAAGTTTCAAACAAAATATCACTCACACTATACCTATATGACAAAAAGATTTATATTTATTGTACAATCAAAGTTTACATTTCAAATCAAACAAGTCTGCTGGATGAATCCAGGAAGGGCTCTAACCGAGGTTTATACCCGTGGACCTATAAAAGTTTATCTCATAAAAGTACTTTGGAAGTGTACATGCATGTGCAAGTGTAAAAAAGGTCAGACATCCCATGGTCTTGCATGTCTCAGTTTTCACTCTGCAGTCAGTGGTTTATTAATAGCAGGCAGTATGTTGGACACTCGTGCGAGGACCTGACAGGCCGTTATATCTCTCTGCTCTGGACTCTGACCTTGCCTCTGACCAATCACAGAAAACCAGCACTGCCAAGTCAGCAAACTCTGATTGGATGGAAATCATCACCACAGTAACCTCATATAGGATGACAACTTATCCTCTGAAAAATACTAATTAGTTGATTATTGCTAGTACTTAGGAATGGTATGACTGAATCGGAGTCATGCAGATGTGTTTCAATTCATTTAAAATGTAATGGGGCAGTAAGGCTTTGTCTACTGCACTAGACTGAAGTTTGCTGTCCTTAAATGAAGGATGTCAGTATGGACATTTCACGAGCAGCCTGGCTAATCTGTAAAGGATCATAAAACTTGTTGATGCATAAACAGGTTTATTCCATCCAATCTAAGCATTCCATCGCACTCCCGCAGAGCACAGACAGAGGGCACTGTGGTGTCAGAAAGTTTTCTCTCTTCCAAGCAATGTCAGAGCAAGGGCACCCCCTGCAAACCTGTGGCTGTTCAGTGGTGTAACTAAGACCTAAAGAGTTAAAGCAAATAAAAGCAGCCAATCAGAACGCACACTGACTTTCCTCTGTGAAGTTGTGATCTTTCGCCATGGCAGCAGTGACTCCCTCCTCCTCAGGGCCCCTATCGAACCATGTGATGCTTTGGCACAAGATGGCTGCCTCTTTGTCAACTACATGGACAGCTTCCTTGGACATGCATGAGGCTTCAAAACTATCAGCAAACTTTTTTTCAGAACTGAAAAACTGCTCAAATATTTCTATCAGGTTTCATGTCTTGAATGGACAGCATCTTGGACATATCTAGAGCCCAGAATACAGAAACTGGGCTCAACTTGGTCCACCAGACTTTAGTATGGCCAATAGTTAGTCATTTTTGACAGCTATGAAAACAAGACTTGTACATATGATTCAAGAACACATAGGGCCCTATGATTTCCACGATGTGAAAAACACAGATGGAATCATGGAATCCAGTCATAAAAACGGAATTTAGAGTATAATGTCACGGAATCTGCCAAATTTTGGATGGATAAATCAAAAGTAGGTCAGTACACTTAAATCAAAGTGCGATATGGACTAGTGTCTGTGAATATTAAGCCGCAAAAATAATGATTTAAATATGAATCCTGCATGTTCGATCACGAATGAATGGTGCAGACACGTGGTTTCTTTACTACACACATACTGAAGCGCGCATGACGCTTGCAGTGTTTTCTACCTCTGCTGCCTCAATATATGAGTACATAAACATGAATATAATCTCTAGAACTGCTCTGAAAGTCACTTCATGAGCATTTTACCGTTTCTTTTGAGTAAAACAGAAACTTAAAGGTTTTCACATCAACCCATCAAAACAAAAGTTAACTTGAAGAAACCGTGACAAATATATTACTTAATGTAATGATAGTATTGTTACGAATAATAATTATTAAAACATTATTTTTTAGGTAATATTTACCAGAAAAAAACCATTTACCAGAATGTATTTAGCAGAAAAATGTAAATACACATTATAGTATTTCTGGAGAAAAAAGAAGAAGAAAGAATTAAAAAAATATATAAAATCAGTTAATTAGAGATGCTTTTGATTATTACAGTTTAATGAATCAAAATTAAAATGGAATCCAGAAAAATTATGGAAAACCGTATTTGGTAAAAATAAATGAATAAAACTGAATTTGGGAAAAAAGTAAAACATTTCATAGGGCTTAAAAATGTTTTACTTTTGTTAAACTTTTAATAAATTGCTGTTAAATTGTGTAAGTTTCATGATTTCAATTAATTAGACATGCTTTTTGATTAATAAAAATGTAATTTAATCATTAAAACAGAGTCTAGAAAAATTAAAACGGGGGGGAAAAAAACAGAATTTGGAAAAATAAAATAAAACTGACTTTGAGAAAAAATAAAACCAATTTCATAGGACCCTAAAAAACACCCTAGTAACCATTATTAATAAAACTATACTCATACAAAAACTTTGGAAAAGATGAGATGTAATCAGGACAGTAACAGCTGATGTAGTAAAACCAGATTCCCTTCACATCGGTCACAGCCGCACATTCCATGCAAATCAAACTTAGTGTAGTATTTCCAATTCCGCCCTAATTCCACTTTACTTCTGCTTGCTACCAGAAAACGGCAATTTACAGAGCGCTTATGCAAGGGGCCCGTAAGAGCCATCCACACACACTGATCCCCCAAATGCACTTCATCATCAACCTTTGCAACCTTGGGAGGAAGTTCATGTTTACCCCCCTCCATCAGCAAGGCCTGCTGGGAGAAGACACCATGACCAAAATGGGGGAGTTGCTTTAAAGTCACTCTTTGCTTCCTGCAAAGCTCTCTCTCCTTAAACAAAAGCAAAGGCTACAGAACTGATGAACCCCAGTGGTAGCACACGTATGAGCACCAACATACACAAACAAACCAACGCATTTTCATTTATCTTTGTGGTGCACTCATCCTCTGGGCGACTCTTCAGCGCATGTGAAGGCAGGGTGAGGCCTGAGGGATGTAATCAACCAACAAGCTTTCACTTCTCTAAAAAGCCCAACACACACCTCCGAACAGTTCAACTTCTTAAATGATGCTTGATACACTCTTGGGGGTGAACTTTTTTTTGACAACCACCCAAAACACCCTAGCAAATTCTTAGAAGACCTTAGCAACACTAAAACACCTGAGCAACCACATAGCCACCACTCAAAACACCCTAGCAAGCTGTATAGCAATGCACTAACAACTATTTGAAACACCTTAGCAACTCTAGAACATCATAGCAACCACTTAAATCACCTTAGCAACTCCAGAACACCCTTGCAACCACTTAGACCTGCATAGCAACACACTAGCAACCACTTAAAACACCTTAGCAACTCTAGAACACATAACAACCACTTAAAACACCTTAGCAACCCTAGAACACCATAGCAACCTCTTAAATTACCTTAGCAACTCTAGAAAACCACTGAAACCACTTAAAAGACTCTTGCACCTGCATAGCAACACACTAGCATCCACTTAAAAGACCTTAGCAACCGTAGCAATCGGTAAAAACACTCCGACAGCTGCATAGCAAAACACTAGCAACCACTTGGTCGTGCTGCTCCTGCACATCTATAAATCACACATATGTACAGTTACTCACTGCTGTTTATCACAGCATTTCAGACAAGTTGAGTTTGAATACTCAACGGTTCACAAAGATGTGCATGTATGAAACCATAAACTCAATCCTTAGTCGAAATAATAATTTGATAGTTACACTTTATTAGCTGAAAGACAGTATGAAACCAGGACTAACTTTATAAAGCAATGCACAATTCATGAATATGGTTTAAATTAAAAAAGCTATAAAAATGTTATTTTAAAAAAGTTATTACCTTTAACCAAAATGCAATAACTTTCCACACCTCTGAAAAGAATTGTGCAATATAACCAAGGCCTCGTGGGTGAAAAAAAAGGTCTCTGCCAAAAAAGTTAATACTCTCAAAATCAAATTATATCCCAATGTATAAAGTTCCACTGAATCTTCCATTTTCCTTAATAATTCATCACATTATGGAAGTTAAATGTGTGCATGCGGTCTTAAGAATAATTTCTGTGGTGCGAATCAAAATCTTCAACCCAAGTGACACATTTTTGCTCCAGATTGCAAATCATTTTTAGTTTGAAAACTCACTGACCTGTGCATGTTGCCATTGGTGGTGAAAGTCTGATGGCACACAGAGCATGTGTAGGGTCTCTCTCCACTGTGCACTAGCATGTGACGATCCAGAGAGCTCGCCGAGCTCAGAGCCTTCCCGCAGATACTGCAAGAGTGGTCCGCAGTCCCGCTATCGGTGTTGTGCTGGAGAAAAGACATTTAGGTCAGCTAGCTCAATAAGTTAATTAACATTACAGGCCATGCTCTTCAATATATTGTCTTGTCTAAGTGGCTTCTGAAAATGCTCCAACATTCCGCCATCTTTGCTAACTTGTACACAGACTTTAATTAAAGAAATCAACAGGTATGCAACATCAAACTGAAAAGTGCATGTTACCTGGCGGATGTGCATGGTGAGCTGGTGTTGGGTCTGAAAGCTCTTATCACACAGTGGACAGATGATACACCCGCTGTCATCTTTGGCTTCCTGAAACAAATATGAGATGAACTGTATGTAGTTATAAATCTCTACAGCATACACAGAGCACTGTATTATACTATGTGCCAAAAGCTTGTGTTTTAAAGCACGATGATGCAAATTTGACATCTTGCTGGCACAAAAGCTGTTTTTGCACACCAGAGTACACTTAAAAACAAATATTTTCAAAGTGTATATGTAATAAAAGTTTATTTTGCCAACTTGTATTTTATTTAACTTTACCATTCAAAATTTGGGGGATTTTTAAATGTTTTTCAAAGTTTCTTCAGCACAGTTTCTGGTCCCCATTGGGGCCAAACATCTGTTTGGTTACCCACAATCCTCAAAATACCTTTTTTACGTTGAACATAAGAAACAGTCATATAGGTTTGGAACATTTTTGGCCGAACTATCCCTTTAACTGTCCCTGTTCAGTGAGACCAGTTCCTGTTGTAACAGATCTGATGCCATCACATGACAGAATGCCTTGTATACTTACTCATATGATGTCATAAAATAAATGCGTAGCTATTATCTCATAATATATATATAAAGAAAAAAAACAAGAGAAGGCACATGAGTCATCAGAAATCCAGCCCTAAATAGACACTCATGTGATCTAAACACACAACACACAAGCGGTTAAACTAGACTAGAATCTTCAAAAACATCTCAAGGAAGAGAAGAGCACTTCCTTTTCCTCTGGTGGCATGCTGGCGTAGGGCTGGTTTTCCTTCTGTGACTCTCTTGGCTTCGGTTCAGGACCAGCGAGCGCCAACTGCTCAAGCTGACCGTATTTACCATTCTGCATGTTATGAGGGGAAGTGTCATTCACAGACAACGTTTGCTTTTTGACCTTAATTGGCAGTGATAGTTTCGTCATATAAGGAAGTCCCATTCATTTCATCATCACAATTCACTGAGTCATACTGACCTGCTTAAAATAAGTCTATAGGTCATAAATTGGTTTAATCCACTTACTACGCACTACCATTCAAATGTTTGGAGTCTGTAAGATTTTTTTTAAAGAAACTAATACATTTATTTATTAAGGATATATTAAATTGATCAAAAATGGGGGTAAAGCTTTCTATTTCAAATAAGTACTGTTCTTCCTAAAATCTTGAAAAAATGCATCACAAAATGTGAAGCAGCACAACTGTTTTCAACACTGATAATCATAAACGTTTCTTAAGCATCAAATCAGCATATTAGAATGATTTCTGAAAAATCATGTGACACTGAAGACTGGCGTAACGATGATGCTGAAAATTCAGCTTTGCATCACAGGAATAAATGACATTTTAAAATATATCACAATAGAAAAATGTGATTTTTAATTGTAATAATATTTCTGTTTTTATTGTATATATTTCCTCAAACAAATGCAGTCTTGATGAACACAAGATACTTCTTTCAAAAAGCATTAAAAAAAACATCTGTACTTTTGAAAAGTCGATTTCCTTGGATGATTCAAAAAGTGGATGTAAATGCTGTAAGGCATTTTACTATTATAATTTTTTTCACCGTTACAATTCATGGTGCACCTGAGCAAGCACCTGTTAGCAATTTTTCTTCTTTTCCGGTTTTGTCTGAACCTGTTTTGTGTTCAGCAGTACCTGTCTGCAGTGTTCTGTACTTTGGCGCGTCTCTTTATTCTCAGTTAATCCAGTAAATTACACAACGCACTGTAAGCTTCTTTACTTTTCCTCAAAAGGACCGATAGAGGCCTGAGAACTAGACTACAGCCTCTCCAGGTGAAACACTGCCTACTGGCTAAAAGATCCCACACTCAAATTTCTATTCTGCTCTCTAGATATAACTCATGTCTTTCAATGCAAATTTATGAGATTTTATACCTACATATAATATCCTACAGGCACAATTAAAATGTTTTTTTTTTTTTTAAAGTGGAAGGAACACATTTACGGGGGGTGGATGGTTTGGATCCAAAACTTCAGAGACTAAACTTCCCCCCAGAGCTCCACAGGAGTGTTAAGGGGTTAAAAGTGACACCTGTTGCCCCACACCGGAGTGTTAAGGGATGAATTGCATGCTCTAATGGGAGCCATGTGATGCAGCCGGGTGAACAAAAGGTGGATTGAGATGCCAGTAGACCATTTGTCACTTTCCGTTTTAAAAGCAGGATGCTGCATCCATAAAGTCCTTCCCACCTGTACTACTTTCTAACCACAAAAACACACGTATATAAGCAGCATCTATTCATTATTTAGAGCTGCATTCAAGTTAACTTTAATCTTAAATCTCTAGTGTGCAAAATTAGAATTAGTGTTACGCCATCACAGTACATTAAAAACAGTATGCAAAATCTGCCTACTGTAGATGACCGTTTTTAAATGCATTAAACAAATTCAAATGTAATTTTAAAGTCATTTATATAGCTAGATATTACACAACTTGATTGTGTGCAATGCAACTTTATGAAGTGGTAATAAGCCACAATGGTGGACTGTCTGGTTACGTGCTTAAAACTGTAAACTTTCTCATCAGCAGCAAAATACAAACTTTTGTATAATAGAAGTATGTGAATTGGAACGCATCCAAGGACACTGCCATGGCTCGTCTGATTGGTTTATTTGTGGACTGAGTCAGTACGAGTTTGTTTTGAGATTATGAATCAGTGCGAGACATTTCAGTGTTGAGTTTGGATCATAAACATATTTTGTGTTTTATAACCACAAATAGTTCTTGTTTCCGACCGCAAAATTACATCAACACTGTCTCTGCTGCACAAAATACTAGGAAACATCTTCTGTGTTTTACTTTTACTTTACTGTTATTACATATATACATTTTAATAGCAGGTTTATGCATGTAAATCCATGTATATTCGCTAATATCACATTTATCAAGTATGCATGTGATTTTCACTCTTATTCTTCGTAACCTCTTACCTGGGTCTTTCTTCCACTGCGGTTGGTGCTGGGGCTTTTGATGGACACCTTACTGGGCGTGGTGTGGGCGGAGTCTACGCTGCCGTTAAGCTGAGCTGCTTTCATCACAGTGCTCATCATGGAGTTAATGGAAGACAGGTCCACCCCATCGGCTACCTCCATCTCTCCGTCTAATCTATTCTGTCCGTTCTCCCATTCATTTGCTTCCTCCTCTACACTGGTAGAACTCTCTGTGGATGTTTTCATTTCTTTGTATTACTTTAATGAATGATAGGTAGAAAGATAGTGACAGAGAGAGCAACAGACAGAAAGAACAAATGATGGATGGATGGATGGATGGATGGATGGATGGATGGATGGATGGATGGATGGATGGATGGATGGATGGATGGATGGATGGATGGATGGATGGATGGATGGATGGATGGATGGATGGATGGATGGATGGATGGATGGATGGAGTAAAAGTGATAGAATGAACGACAGATGAATAGAAAGAATGATGATCGATAGATCAGTAGATAGAACAATAAACAAAATGATGGACAGAATGATGAGCAATGAATGGAAAGATAGATGATAGAGCGATACATAGATGGATGGATGGATGGAGTAAAAGTGATAGAATGAACGACAGATGAATAGAAAGAATGATGATCGATAGATCAGTAGATAGAACAATAAACAAAATGATGGACAGAATGATGAGCAATGAATGGAAAGATAGATGATAGAGCGATACATAGAAGGAATGATGGATAGAACAATAGCTGATATAAAGATAGATAGATAGATTGATCAATTGATAGAGGTATCGATAGGATGATAGATGGATAGAAGAAACAACAGATATAAAGACAGAGCAATGGAACGAACAATGGGTGGATGGAAAGACAGATAGATAGAATGAAAGAAAGAGCGATAGATTAAGTGATATATAAAATGACCAATAGGACAACTGATGGATGATAGCTAACAATGGATAAATAGATAGATAGATAGATATTTACCTGTGTGTGTTGTTTGTGTTCCTGTGGGGGCGGGGCTCTGGCACTCATCGCTTTGCTCCGCCTCCTCCCTACTAAGGGTGCAATTTGCAGATTCTGTTCTTGCCTCATCTGTTGTATTTTCCATAACTATGGAGAAAAAAAGGTATGCAAATAAACCAAGGATGGAAGAAGGACTGGAAGAACAGCTTGTATCTTATAGTAACTTGACATTCAGAAAACAGCTAGTTACAAGCGTATGTCCAACGCGAGTGTGTAAGAGTCATTATAAAAACAGAGTGTGAGGTCATAGCCAACTATGAAGTTACATTCTGTATTCTCTTTCTAGCAAAGGTTAGGAAACAAATCAGAGATCTGATTGGCTGAAACAACTGGCAACATCATAGGTGTGGCCTATGAAGCCATGATTGGTTTAATCAAATTTTTGGACAACTACAGACGACCACACAGGAAAATCTCTGCTTTGGTGGGCGCCGGCGTGGCAGATGGCTGTTGATGCTAATCTGGATGAGCGGGGGGGGTCTAAGCGCTACTTTTAAGAGGGTAAGGTCATAAGGGGTTTGTTCCTGAGGGGATGATGGGAGATGCTCGAGGTACATCGACCTAAAAAGCAGCACTCTAAGTGTTGATTATGATTTAATAAGTGTGCTAATGACTAAAAGATTGATAATGTGTTAAAACAAGGGAGGGAGAGTTGGAACAGTTGTCAAGAGGAAGGACGGGAGAGATTTGGGAGGGCAAAAAGATGGAGAAAAGAAGGAGATTCTCTCTTTGCTAATTGCCTTTTCCCATCCGCAGCCACACAGGAAGCTCCTCTGCAGTCTGGGCCGCTTCCTCTTTTGGAGAGAGGATAAGGGAATGTGTGTCTGGGTGTGTGACAAGGCTGTTGGACAACAGGATCTGCTGCTGGCTGGACCAAAACAACATGGTAGATATGATCAGGGGGGCCAACAAGAGACACTTCACATACGCCTTGAAGCTAAATGGAGGTAAACCAAATTCCTCCAGAAACAGCCTGCGAGCCAAGTACTGAATGCACTCGATTAGAAACGTACAACTGCAGCTGAATGTGGATAGTCCTTACTCCTTAAAATAACTAAAGAGGAGGTTGACAAGCACATTCAATTCACTTTAGTGACAACTAATTATAAATTAAGAAATTATATCCTGTGGCCAGTATAGTAGGAGAAAAACAGTAAATGAAAAACAGTAGCATGTCTGAATGTGGTTTTCTTAAAAACAACAGATGAATGGATGACTACCTTAGTGAAAAAAATATACTGAAATGTATTTGAAATACATTTACTTTGTGCCAAGTATATTACGAATACATTTACATATTTATGTCCTTAATAAAAATCAGTAAAACGTTTTACAAAGATTAAAGGCATCATCTTATGGAAGCCATAAACAAGCATCTCATCAAAGCTCTCATTAGTCAAGATTGGGCCGCTCCTCTGATAGGATGTTTGCATGATGGGAGGGGCGTTTTTGCAGGAAAATGAACAGTTGATGAATGTGGTGGGAGACAAACTAGTACTATGAATCAAAGAGAAAACCAGAAAGATGCTGGAAATAAGAAGTGAACGTTGAGAAAAGGGAGAGGAGAGAAAACCTGTATTCGGGTGTGGAAAGTCGAGTAAGAGACTGTTGGGTTCTGTTGATGATTAGAGGTAGAAAGACAAGGGATTACACAACAGCAGGGCAGGTTTCGAGTTGTGCAAGGATTTGGGGTGGGGGTTTGGGGCGAGAGTGAACGAGAGAGAGCTGTACTTGTCATAAGATTCTCACTCTCTTGCGGGTGGAGGGAGTTGGGGGGCTGCTGTTACTACATCTGTTCCCACCCATCACCCTCACTTTCCAGCACACACACACACACACACACACACACGACAGAAAGAGCTTCTTGCACATCCTTGTTAAAACAAGTCAAACAAAAAACAAACGGTGGGAAAGCAGAGGTGATTTTGGGAGACTATGACGAGAGAATATGTTATGGGCGTGCTGGCGTGTGCGTTCGTGTATGACCGTATGTGAGCTTTTTGAGCGTGTGTGTCAGTCAGAAGCACACAAGAGTGGAAAAGTCCTCACACGGTGCCAAACCAAGCAAGCAAGAATGCCTCTGCTGCTCCCTCTCTCCATCTTGTTTCGTCTCCCATCTGTCGCTCACTGCTTTTCCTCACTCATCCTACATAAACCTCTTCAAATATCCTCTAAAATATTCGAAAATGTGAATGCTTACTTTTGAAAAGTTACATAAAACAAACAAAACTACTTTAAAATGGTAAGAAATATTTTTTAAATGCTAATCAAAAAATCAGTAAACTGACTGCATTTCTTTGCAACCAAAAAATGTTTCACAACAGGGTGTCAGTTGGAATAAGCCACTAGCTTTAACCACTGGAAAATCTTAAACGAGGCATTACAAAATTAGATAAAATATGGTCACACTTTATTCTCGCAATTAAAAAACCACTAACTACGACTTTTGCCTCAAAAAACTCCTAATTTTGCTGCTTATTAAGGTAGTTGTTAGGTATTGGGTAGGATTAGGGATGTAGAATATGGTCATGCAGAATATGTGCTTTACAAGTAATAATAAACAGCCAATATATTAATAATAGGCATGCTAATAAGCAACTAGTTAATAGTGAGAATTGGTTCTTATACTAAAGTGTTACCTAAAATATTTACTAAACAAAAAACTAGGCATTCCAATGATTATAGCCATTTCTGCAAGTGTGCATTTATGCAGGCCTTGCATTGCATTGATTCTAGCCAATATATTAATTTTTGACACTATTAAATTCAAATCAAATCAGTCAAAACCAGACTTTTAAGCAAAAGTTTTAAAATAAGCTAAAACAAATAAAAATCAAGGTATCTCTTTTGATTCACCCCTAATATTACTTATAATTAATTTAGTTATTTATTTTAATCTATGAACACTACTAAATTCTATAAAGAAAGAAAGAAAGAAAAGAGCAGAGAGCCACTGGTTTAACATTTAAGGCCAACATATTCATGATGCTACACAAATGATCAATCAGTGCAACAAAAAGTTGGTTCTAACTATCAATGGCTTGTCCTTCCTTCTACTTTACCAGGAGACACGTATGATGCTGCCAAGTCCAAATAGCACCTGACTATTTATTAGAGAAGCATACCTAAATCTAAATTTACCTTAAAACTTGGGCCTGAAGCCAAAGCATCCACTCTAACCACAAAGCTGCCAACGTACGAAAAACAAACGAAAAACGTAAAAAACCCTGGCAACCTTGTAAGATACCGACAGTCCTAGCTTTCATTCGGTAGGAGCTCTTATAAAGTAATTGGCCTGGCATCTGGGATGCAAATGACAGAGTCGTGTGGGTTGGGCCTGCGAGGATGGCTGTCAGACAATAGCTCCGAGCCAAACTGCCAAAAATGACACGTGCACTTCAAAAGCAAACAGATACGGAGCGACAGTAGTGCCGATTCTCAGTTACCTGGTGGGAAGAGGTCTTGAATGGCTTTTATAAAGGGAAAGGGGAGGATAAAAATATAAATGTTCTTCCGGAGTGGGAGAAGGTTTGAAAAAGAGGCTAGTTTGCTTTGTGGTTTAACTGAGAATAGGTCTGCAACCAGGCAAGGGGGTTGTGACAGCAGTAAATCCAGTGGCCATATGTTGGCTGTTTATTACAGCCTCCAGTGTCTTCCTTGACATCACAGCACTCAAAAGGAAACAGAAGAAATCTCATGTGTGAAATAATAAGAATGAGCTAACACATATAAATGAGGGGGTAGAGGAAGGAAGCTGCAACTCATGTACGCTTACTGCTCAAAGCTCTTGGTGTAAAAGAAGAGTTTCATAGTAGCCGCTTACAGTGTTGGGGAGTAACTAGTTACATGTAACATAATTACGTCATTTAATTACAAAATAAATGTAACTAATCTGTTACAGTTACTGAGAAATAAATCTGTATTTAACCTCAGAACGATATCAAAGAAAAAAGAGGTGCTGAATTTGTGGTGGCTGTTTTAAAATGAAATAATTATAATCTCAATTCAAGTGATGAAGTATTTTGAAAGTCTGACAGTAGTGTATTGGCCCGAATATAAGACGACCCTGATTATAAGACGACCCCCCTTTTTCCAGATGCACCTTTTGGATAAAGGCTTTTTAAAAACCAAATCTTTTTTTTTCTCAGTGAAACACATTTTGTCTTCCAATTATTTTCATATTGCATATTTTTCCTATTTTCATTTTTGTTTTGAAAGTATGGTAAAAACTGGTAAAATGTACCAACAATCACATTTAAAAAATATACACTTTTTTATATACCATTAAAAAAAAAAAACGGGTAGCCCATCTGAATTAGGACATTTAGGCTATTCATCTAATAGTAGCCTACCAAAATCTTATTAACAGTAGAAGTTAAATCTTACTGTAGTCTTCAAATCTGGGTACTGTCTTATGTTTTAAAATCACGAAGAGAGTTTGGTCCCATCAGGCTAACGTGACAGTCACGACTCATGCAGCTGTAAGCTTTTCTTATTCTTTTGTTTTTACTCGCGATCTTTACAACACGCATTACATTACGTATTTCATGGCACACTCGTTTTATGCGTATTTGGCGCCACCTATTGTTGTGGGTGTATTATTGACATGTCAAAGTCTAGACCCTGAATATAAGACGACCGCGTTTTTTCAGATGTATTTCCAAGAAAAAAAACATTGTCTTGTATTCGGGTCAATACGGTAATTAGTGTTGAGTCCTACTGTAAGATTCACCCTGCCTGGTTTAAATGTTTCAAAATGATTAACAGTTGAAAACATTCATTAGAAATTTAGAAAAGTAATCAAATGTAATCCGTTACATTAAAGTAATTGAAATAGTTACACTACTTATTATTACATTGTAATCTGTAACCTACTAAATTTCCAAAGTAACCTTCCCAACACTGGCCGTTCGCATCTCTTCTCCCTACCAATCATATGTTTGAGTGACTCCGAGCGACTGGGGCCTTTCCTCCACCCTTCCATGTCCTGACTTGCCAGACCGAGCAACACAAAACCTCACACACAAATTACAAAGTCGGTGAATTCAGTCACCAGTTTATGAACTTTTCACGTTCGGTCTCTCTAA